TCCAGGTCTGTGCCTTCCCCCCGAGCATCCCGGGGGGCCCTGTGTCTCACCGGGAGAGGCCATCCCGATCCATTCTCCTTCCACTGGCCCCCTGGCCTCAGCCCTGTTTATGCCAGGGGCAAGGCAGGCTCCTCCTGAACAACCTTCCCCTGAGGCAGCGCCCAAGACGCCAGCTCTCAAAACCATGGTCCCTCCTCTGAGAAAAAGGATGAGAACTCGCTCTCTGCAAGGTGGCCGTGACAGCAGACCCAGTTGCATTTGCAAAGAGCAGTCCCTTCCGGAACTTTCTAGGTTCCTGCAGAAAAGAGGTCGCCAGCTCTTTCTGCAGGAAGATGCCTGTGTGAGGCCTTGGAGCCCGAGTCCCCGGGCAGAGATCCCGCACACACCCACCCCTTGCCCAAGAGCCCTCCATTGAGTCTGGTCACCCCAGTTGAGGACGAGTCTTGTTCCCACACCGTGCTGTCCCAAGGGCAGGCCATGGGCCGGGCTGTCCACCAGGGCTGTCACGGGCCCCAGGGCTTCAGGAACCCATAAATGGAGACGGAGAGGAGAGAAGGAACACTACAGGATTGGCCGCCCCCATCAGAGTGGACACGTGGCTGCCCCCCTGCCCCCTGAAGTACAGGTCCCAGGGGAGAGGGTCCCAGAGGGGCCCCACAGGGTTATCCCAGCCCACTGCCCATCGCAGCCCATGAGCTTGGGCTCCCAGGGATCAAGGGGTAGTCCTCCACACACCTGGACCCTCTCCCAGGGTCTCCCCGCCTGCCTCTCTCTCCCCGCCTGCCTCTCTCTCTCCCTGCTTCAAGGAGTACACAGGGCCAGCGTGTGTGGGCTCCCCTCTTCTCCGACCTGCCAGGCCCACGCATCAGCACCTCCCAGGGTGCTCCAGCTCCCTGATGTTCCTGTCTGGAGGCTGTCCTTCCGTGAGGCTCTGATGCACCCCGCACCCCCGCACCAGAGCTGAGAACACAAGCAAACAAACCCACAGAGCCCTCATTAACAAATTACCCGGTGCCGTAATTACAGACGCTGTAATTACAGGCTCCCGTGTGCAGCACCCAGCTGACAGGCTGGCCCTGTCCCGTGGCCAATGCAGTTCGCTCTCCTGCGGTGGGCAGCCCCAGTATCCAGCAGCCCAGAAGGGCCCCCATGTCCTGAGAGCGGGAGGGATGAGCCTGGGGTCCCAGTGGCCCCCTGCTGCCCCATCCCCCCAGCCTGAGCTAGGCGGCGGTCTCCTCCATCTGTGCCCCCAGGCAGACCGGAAGCCACAGCAGACCCGTTCCTCTCGCAGCCCCCGCGCGGCAGAAGGGAGCGTATAGGTGGAAGCTGTGAGAAGGAGAGCAAGGGAAGCGGGGCTCCGAGGGCGGGGCCGCCGGGGAGCATCTGCAGAGTGGGCCCACCAGGCCGCAGGGCTGGAAAAGAATGTTCCAGAAGGCCAGCCTAGGCCGCTATTCCAGGAGGCCAGCAGGGGCAGCAGCAGGGGCCTTCTCCACGGCCGAGTCGGGGGTGGTCGCTGCAGCCATGGGGCTGGGCACGTAGTTGAAGGGGGGCACCCGGAC